TATGAGTTCATGTGGGATTTAAACGTTCCGGCAGTTTATAAGAGCCGTTATACGCAAAAATAACCACCACAAAAGCCTTATTTTTTATGTAATGACCGAATCAACCTGGTCCATGTACATTCCTACTTAAAAGAAAAAAGACTTAGTATTTGTACTGGCCAGAGGTAACAAACATTCGATGCAAAATAGGTACACATAAACCAGAACAACAATTATAAAAGAAAGAAAAGAAGAAAAAAAAAATAGAACGACAAATCTAAGGAAAGTATGAGAGATCCGATCTCTGTAGTATGTCCTGGAAGGCACTATTCATGACATCAAAGCCGACCACATGAATTTCATCTAATTGTTGACATCCCCTAGTGCAAGTGGTCCATATTCTTGTCTTTTATCATAGACGTTCCTTTCATATATTTCCTTAAATTTTAAACCATTTAGTGGAACTCTCTCTCACTCCAAACATCAGAAAAGAGGAAAAAAAAATAGGAGAACATAAAAGTGCAATTATTGAGCACTGGATTTATTTGCAAATTGCAATAGTGTATCTTGGATACGCTTGCTAAGTTTAATGAGTACTACTTACAAAAAAGTAAAATCTCTGTTCTATCACTAACAAAAAGAAATACTTTTAACTTATAGTAGAGCTGTTAAAACGGGCCAACCCACCCGGTCTAACCCAAACTTCGTAGGCTTTTAAATTTGGTGGGCTAGGACGGGCTGACCCGCCATATGAATGAGCCTTAAATTGGCTAGCTCAACCCAGTCCTAAGAGGGCCGTGGGCTGGGGCGGGCCGGCCCTTCAACTCTTTTTAGAAAAAAAATTTCTTTAAATCCTTAAATATTTTGGGACATAAAAATTACTACTCCCTCCGGTCCAAAATAAGTGATTTTTTGGCCTTTTTCATGTGGTCCAAAATAAGTGATTTTTTCAGATTTCAAGAATGAATTAATTACTTTTTTCCTATATTGCCCTTGGAGTAAATAATATTGGAGTATGCGTTAGGAGTGTTTATGTGAAGAGATAGTAAAGGTTAATATAGTCAATTGCAATGCTAATTAATGTTAAAAGGTGAGTTTCTTAATATGTGTGAAAACAACCAAAAAATCACTTATTTTGGACCGGAGGGAGTACTAGTTAAGTATATACAATCCTTCTTCGCAACTACTTTCTCTCCGTCATCAATTGTTCGCGCTCTTATACTCGACAGTAATTGTCCTGATTTTCTTATCATATTTGATTTTCCTATCTCATGAAGTTTCCTATCTCTTGAAGGAAAGGACAATATATTTACCATAATTGAGTTTTTCTTTTCTTGTAAGGAAATTATTAATCTCTCATATTTGGCTAGTCCTTTTTCCTGGAGGAAAAAGTTTGAACTTCTATATATTAAGGATCCTTCCTTCTCATTTAGTAGCATCCACAATGTAGCCATATGAGGTTTGAAAGTCTTATTTAGGGGAGAGTTTCGGGACAGTGTTAGTCTGCCACTTGTGTTTGCCTCTTCGTTAGGTTTTTCTCTCGATATTTTATACTCTCTTTTATATAATAGATTGCTCATTTCCACCCATGGATGTATGTCAAATTGACCGAACCACGTTAAATGTTTGTATCTCTTTTGGTAGATGTCTCTTTTATTGTCTGGTTTATCATCATTGAAAGTTTGCTTTACTAGCTTCCGCATGACACTTAATTATTTCGATCCTAACACATACAAACTGTTGAGGGATCACTACATCCTGTTTACTACTAAAAAATCTAGTTTTAGCGATGGACAAATTCCGTAGCTAAACAGAAAAAGTCGTCGCTATTCTCATTTAGCGATGAATTTGCGACATATTATCAAAAAATTCTGCTAGCTACGAGCGATTAGCGACAGATTAGCGATGACGTTCATAGCTAATTCCAGATTTTTTTTTTAGTGGTTGGAGGAAGATTTGCAATATTCTTTTCACATGTAATTTCAACTCACATAATTTTAAAGTAGGATGAGATCTTTTTTTTAACAAATACTACACTTGAGTTTAGCCAATAAGGCCGAGAAAGGTATGGATGAGATCTACACCTTGGCTTTCGATAAACATACACCAGTGTAATAGGGCTGGCCCATGGATAATATTTTTAGAACTTTTTTTTTTTTAAGAATTAACTCAATTAGTCGTCTACCTAATCTTTTAAATTGAAAATAGTGTGGATATATATATATATATATATATATATATATATATATATATATATATATATGTATAATCTATGTATATTCGCTAAAAAATTTAAACATTGAATCTTGTCAGTTATTTGTATAACAAACTATTACATTTTATTTTAATTTACATGACATCCTTTTTGTTTATAGATGTCCGGAAATGACATCGTTTTCTTGAGATGTCCGAAAATATTTGACATTGTTTAACTAATAATATGTTTTCTATTCCTTTTTTAAGTTTCTAGAACCCTGAGTATATTTACTTTAACTAATTAACTAAGCTTTGAAGTTTTGTATTCCCTAATTTCAGTATAGGTCAAAATCTGAACAGAAGAATCTTACTTAAGGAAGGACGACCAAGAGTCAACCAAGCCGAGGTCACGTATAGGAAGCAATACACCAACGAGTGATTCAGCTACGGTCGAGGTCGAGCACTCAGTTCGGCCTGAATGGCTAGTTCAACACTTAGACATTTTAGAGGAATATTCCACAAAGAACTTAGGTACTCCGGTTAAGGACTGTTAGGTAAAGAAAGTGTTTTTTTATTAGTATCATGGGAGAGAGTAACTAGGGGGGGGGGGGTTTAGAAAGAACTCACACACAGATAGACATATCTCTGAAGATATCTTCATCTTAGGCTCCTCACCAAGAAGAAAGGACAAAAAACGCTTAGAACCTCGGTATTCATCATTAANATCACTACTCAGCCAATGTTAAAAATATAAAAAGCTTAAGTCTATAGCTCTAGCAATATAATTCTGCTCAGTTCATTCAATTCCTCTTGTTGTTGCTACTGTTCTTATAAGCACCAACTTAATAGCATTCTAATTTTCAGAAGCCGAGTCATAAGGATTTAGTACAATTTTATGCTAACTAATAAGGGTAAATTGGTGATTAACTCGGGCTGTTATCGCTTTAAAGAAACACGGGACCTTAAAGCACTGATGGTCCTGGTTTATTTAATTTTAAAACTATTTACAAAGAAATTACTCACTAAAAGAACTCATAATATGTACATGATATCGCCGTTTATGTTGAAATCACCATATTTTTCATGGCTAGATAACTTTCTTTAAAAGAGAAGTGAAGGAAGTAGTGGTACTCATGGTGGAGGAACCATGGCACGTGGGTTATTGTTTTAAGAAGGTTTGGTGGGTGGGTTTAAAGAAGGGAGGAGGGGTTTTCTTTAATTTTAATATTAATTTTTTGCTTATTTTATTTTATTTTTTTGCTTATGAAATTAAAATTTTGTTAAATAATATTATTTTGGTATAAAATCTGATGTGGATGCTGATTTGTCATCCACGTCAAGCAAGTGAGCATCACACGATTTCGGAGTTGTTTAAAAGTCTTGTTTTGATTAAGTTGAAGTGTCTGGATGAAACTTTATGGAGTGTAGGGACCGGGATGACAAACCGGAACAAGTACAAGTGTCTCCTAGGCTATTCTGCCATTTAAGAACTATTGAAATCTATTATATGTACTCACTCCGTTTTAATTTACATAACTTATTTCCTTTTTAGTTCGCTAAAAAGAATCACCTCTTTCCAAGTTAGAAAATGATTTAGCTTAAGCTTCTGATTTTATGCTCAGAAGAATTATAGCCACATAATAGCTTGTTTAGGATAACAAATTTTTAAAGTATACATTTCTTTTTTAAACTCAATACCTAGTCAAATATGTTCAAATGAATTAAAACGGGGGAGTATCAAACTAGTAACACAACATAAGTACTATTCCCTCCGGTCCCAAATAAGTGATTTTTTGGCCTTTTTCATGTGGTCCAAAATAAGTGATTTTTTCAGATTTCAAGAATGAATTAATTATTTTTTTCTTACATTGTCCTTGGAGTAAATTGTGTTGGAATATGTGTTAGGAGTGTTTATGTGAGATAGTAAAGGTTAATATGGTCAATTCCATTGTTAATTAATGCTAAAAGGTGAATTTCTTAATCTGTGTGAAAACATCCAAAAAATCACTTATTTTGGACCGGAGGGAGTATAATTTTTGAAAAAAGTAGTATTTCAATTAAGTTAAAAAATGATATTTGAAATTTAAAATTATGTTTGGACTTTGGACAAGCATTTCAGTTTAAAAGATGTTGTAATTTTGTGAGTAGGAAAAAAAGTTTTTCTAAAAATTTGAAAAAGTGATCAAAACCACTTTTTGGTTTTTGAAAAATTTCAAAAAACTTATAAAATTTCATGGACAAACACGTTTTTGAATTTTAAGAAGAAAAATTTACTTATGGACAAATGGGGCCTTACTACTTACAAATTAGAACAAAAAAACAAGAAGTCATGGCATATAAAATTATGCTTTTCTTAAGCCAGAACATTATTTTATTGAATACTTTAAAAGTTACTCCTAAACTAACCGGAAGTAAACTACGGACACCATGGCCTTAGGCCAGTTTACTTGCTCCATGGCCTTTAATTTTCTTTCTCCTTCAGAAGTAATAAAAGATATGAATTAGTCACTATTACACAGCCTGGAGTCTTCTTAATATATATTTCCCAAACAGAATAAGGAACACTATCACAATCACATAGTTTTATTTCTCTTTACACAGCTGTCTTGGTGTTAAGATAACATAAAATAGTACGTAGAAATTACTAAAGACAGGTCAAGAAACAAAAGAAAACCTTTTGGATGGTTGTTTTACTTTGACAGTCAGTTATTCACCAATTGTGTTTATCTGAGGTAATTTAATAAACTACTTTTTACCTTTCACAAAAACGGTTACACCAAACAAAACGGAGCAAAATGATTTCTCAATCACAAAAGTCAATCCTGGAAACAGAAATGAACAGTAGATAGCAAAACGCATTCCCTTAAAGAGTATTCCTTTCCAAGAAAATTGACAAAATGAGTATAGATTAGTTTACATAACATCTAAGAATGCAGGGCTTCAACCAAGTTTTAATGTGCTTAAAACTAATTGATCAAAGTTCAATTCTCTTCCTCTCTCCACTTCTAATCTCTTCGGATTCTGCAATTCCCCCGCTATCTCTTCTGATTGAACCGTTATAATCCTTAACAATTCAGCAATCTTTGGTTCAACCAGTCAATTACGTCCTTCATTATTTCTTCTCTTTCCGGCTCGAAAAGCAGGTCATGCAGCAACCCTTGATACAGTTTGATACTTTTATCAGTTGAAGAAGCCTCTTCGTAGAGTTTCTTAGAGCCTTCTGGGTCAGTGACCGCATCATCAGAGCCATGAAGAACTAGGAATGGTACTGTCAACTTGCTCAGATTCTGTTGCAAGTAGGCAGTTATCCGAAGTATCTCATAACCTGTTCGTACCCTAATGGATCCAGTGAATACTAGTGGATCCGAATACTTGGCCAGTAATGCTGCCGGATCCCTAGATACTACGGCACCCCTTTTGTTTGCTGCACTGAACTGGTATCTTGGCATTAGGAATGAGACAATTGGAGCAAGTACCTATAAATTAAGAATCAGAACTCCATAACCGTTAAGGCTCCACAAAAAAAATCACATCTACGTTAATTCATGCTCAATGAAAAAAAGGGGACAAACAGAGGAGTTTGATACTGAAACGAACACTTACTGTGAAAATTGGATGAGCTGGTTGAACTCCTACAGCAGGTGAAGTTAATACAACACCAGCAATTCTAGACTCTACCTTTGGATCAAGTGCTGCCTACAAGTATCAATGAAGGACAGAGTCAGCAACAGTTTTCATTACATATTCAACAGATATTGAGCAGAAAACTATCAGTCTCATTTACCTTAAGTACTATGGCTGCACCAGTCGAATGTCCAAAGCAAAAACACGGAAGTCCAGGATTTTCCGCTAAAACCTTCGAGAGAAAGTGTTTCTGCACCAAGTGGAAGAAAGATTGTAAATAAGATAAACTCAAATGTTTCACATTTTTCAGCTTTTTTACGCTACGCATGAAAAATAAAATAATTATACCATGTCATTGACAGCATCATCAAGAGAAGGAACATATGCATGCAGTCCATCACTTCCACCATGACCTGCGGGAGGAAGAAGCTTGAAGATTTAGAAAGCACATTCCCAAAGGATTCAGAGTCACCCTTAATTGGTACAGAACTATTTATACACTACCAAATATATTCAAGTGAAAAATTAAACATACACAGTTAATAAGCAATAAATAGCAGAAAAGGCCAAGGCAGGGTGACTCAGACAAATTCAAGGTTTCAAGACAACAGTTGAGTCGGACTGAATATTACTTTCTGAGACATGGCCCCTGTTAATGTGCGAAAATATATTAGGATTTTCTTTACAATAAAATGTCTTTAAAATGGAGTTGTAAGCACCTTCTCCTCCCTCCATTACCCCTTCATGCACAGAGGCAGATGCAAAGATTCAATTTAATAGCTTACTTATGAGATGGAGCTTCATATGTTACTTTTTCGCACCAAAGGCACCCTGATTGGACGAAATCCAACCCCTGCAACATGCGACATAGATGCATAGTTGAAGACTGACTTCTCAACCACAATAACAGCAACTATACAATAAATTTTCTTCCTCCTCTATAGATCATCAACAGATGAATATCAGAATTTTAAAGCGTGAGAAAGGGAAGAAAATGACATTCAGGTTTAAAATCGATAGATGAACCACCAAAAATTTAGGTCATATATCTTCGTGAAGAGATTAAAAAAAAAAAACTGTACATTAAGTAGTGTGGTATTTTATGATTTACTCTCACACAACCAGATATCCATGTATTTTCTCGTCTCTGTTATGTGAAGAACCAATGAGTTCGTAATAATTGCATAAGTGTGCAGTCGAACAGTTCATAGCCAGCCAGCTGATGGATGACTGCTAAAGATAATTCTCGGATCTGAAGCTTTTATTAGATAAAAAGTGGAGCATCATCGGATTATTTTCCTTTAACCTAACACCTTACCCCCAACCCACACTCCAAAGCGAGGAAGTAGCACATTTTCATTTCCTTTTTTCTGCTTTATTTGCTCCTTCTTTAATACTACAATCAAAGAAGCTTAAAGGAGAAAGCAAAGAAATTCTTTAGGTTTCTGGCAATTGGTACATCACATTATAACAAGATCCGATCCTAGCGAAAGATATGAAAGTATAAGATGTCTTGATATCTTTCCATTGGAAAGAACGGATCAGATTGAAGAGCAAGCGTGGGAGAAAATAATGTAAATTTTAGAGCATTCTATTATTACAGGGAAGTATGACTGGAATAATCAATACACAGCAAAACTAACACAGATCTCATTCAGTAAAGATTTTTAGCGTTTGAAGGTTGTCAGAGTACTCACTCGTAATTAAAGAGCGGACAAAATCTTAAGGGATTGAACATCCATAAAGACTAGGATTCGGATAAATTGAGATGAAAACAAAACAAGATAAAGAAAAAAGAGAACCAGATTTCTGGCAGGGATCGAAACTAGACTAAGCACAAAACCACTGTTCCTAAAATAGAGGAAAGAGTGAGGAATTGAAAGATAAGCCTCTGTACTGCTATAGTTCAGTCAACATACATAATGAAAGAAACAGGAGAACAGAACAAAAAAAAAAACACCGCTTTGAGATAGAGGACGCCAATCAACTATACTTTGAGAGTCAATTTTCGCAAGCACAGAACTTACCAACCCAGTCCATTCCATAAACTTTATAGCCATTTGCATTTAGCTTCTTGGCAAAATCATTATACCGGCCGCTGTTGCAAAACGGAGAATGCAGAGTCTTTAAGATATAATGAACATTTGAATCGAAAGTAAAAATCACGAGAGCCTTGCAAGACAAATGTAAACCTGTGTTCATTGAGGCCATGCAACAAGAAAACCAAACCCCTGCACCAAGACAAATAACATCATAAAACTTTATTTCAACAGAAAACTTGAGTGGAGCAAATATGTAGTATGTATTTACACAAGTACCCATAGTAAGATTGGTCTTACATGTGTAAGAAATGTTGACAGTATCTATAACTAACAAAAGACATCTCCAAAGGATCAAAAAGGTGGAAAAAGGACTGTCAAGTGTCAACTACAAATTATCCGCTCATTCGTCTCAGATATTAATCTCAGAAATAGAAGGAACACAATGTAATTTACAGCATACCAAACGCAAGAGAAGGTGAATTAAGCAATTACGCCATTTTGTTTTATTTTACGTGCTTTTAATGACATTCTGTTATAACCACAAATATGTGATGACATATTTAAGTCTACAAGTTCTAAAGTTTTTCTTATTTTCTTAAATTTCATGTTCAGTCAAACGCAAATGACGCAGAGGTTTACTATATTGGGAACGGACAATAGTTTAATGCACTCAGTTTCCTATTATCACCCTTAATTACCTTAAATCAGAACGGGATTAGCATTCATGTTTGTTTCCAACACTCCAACAGCGAAAACCAAGAGCATAAATACTAGTCACCGGAAGTCTCTTTAGTTCATTTTCTTAACAAAGGCATCTAGTTACATTGTGAGCCAATTGGACTTGTGTGATATTTTGAAAAGAGCTGCCACGTTATGGCATGTTATGCAAAGAAAAAGCTGGAGCTCCCATTATGCCCATGGCTACCAGCCTACCACACAGAGAATAATCAGAAAATACCATCATTTGTGACTTGGGTGTTGGAATTCTTGGGAAGCGGTCCACTCTAGGGACCAACTCTCATTATTTGCAAGAAGCTGCAATATTCTTTTTAAGCACTTATAACGGACCCATCACATATCACTTTCATCCAAAATTAAAAAGAATGTCTAGTAAAAATGTAGTCAAAGAAAAAATTCAAAAGGAAATAGTCATTCAGTTACTAGGAATATTATTTTCAAAACATTAAGGATCTGTTAAAAACAGGAGCTTTTTTAGCTCAAATATTTTAAAAAAATGTGGAGAAAGCAAAAAAGAAAATACACCATATATTAAGGCGATAAAAGTAAACCATTCAATTTTGCATTCAGAATAATTGCAGGCACCGCACAAACGGAATAATGGTTAATATCAACTTAGCGAATCAAGACAAAAGAAATACCCTTGCCATTATTACACGTTACTGTGCAGTCACACTCAGAACACGATAAAAACAAGAAGAATAATTCTCTGAAAAACACTCTAAGCTCTGCTGTATGGTGGAAATTTAAGCAGAACAAAATTCCATTCTAGTAATTAAATATCACAATACAAAAAATCTGCATTCCCTAAGCATCAGCAGAAATTGCCATGCAACTCATTTTTCAAAGTTATCAGTCCACTAGTTTGTAATCCTGTCCAACAGTAAAGTGGAAAGCAAGAAGCTCACAACAAGAAGACATTGCATGGCAAAAATGGAAACACAAAAAGAAATTAATTTAAGCAATAATTGCACTTTAGGTCCCTCCGTTATTAGTAAATTCTAATTTTAATCCTTCCAATATATGACAAATGGCATATTCGACCTTCAACTTATTAAAATTATGTATTTTTATCCCTTTATCTAGGAAATATGTTATATTCCGATAACTTGTAGAATTATATTACTCTCAAGTATGAATAAAGTACAAACTTAACATAACCACATGTGCAATCACACGATGTCATGGTATATAATTCATTAAATTTGTTAATATTCTTAAAAAGGGGATTAAAAATAGACATTTCAATTAGATGAAGATTAAATGTACTTGATAGTGATATCACAAGGAGTAAAGTTAGAATTTTTAGATATTTAAAGGACTAAAAGTGAAAATTTCTCTTTATTCAAACATCCTAGGACCTTCCAGAAACACCAAGAAAGGCTCCTTTTGAATTTTGAATAATACAGTCATTACATTAATCTTGACTCTGAGAAAAATAATGATTACAGGTAATCAATCCCAAAAAGTAATGGCTTTGCATTTCGACTATCAATTGCGTAATTTTTCGATTAGAATTTTAAAATACACACACTACTAATATAATAAATCACGTTTTCTCATTTTAATAAGTAATTTAAAAGTTAAAATAAGGGCTTTCGTTTTGGAATAGGAGTAATCAATTAATTACCTGAGTTTGAAGGAAACAGGTGTCCATGATTGCGTGAACATGGTGTCTCCTCTGGACGTAACAAAGAGCGAAAATTCCCTCAGCGTCTCTTTATCATCATCCTGAAGCACTCTCCTTATCGCCAGCGATCGTCTCGCCGCCACCTCCTGCTCTACCACGCTCTTCCGCGGCACCATTTTCGACGGCACTCGAACCACCGGACCCTTCCTTTCCAATGCCGCCGATTTTTCCTCCTTCCCGGCCTTCTCCTGTGACCCCGACGCCGCCGGCGACGTCATCCTCCTCCGTCCACGAAATGGCAACAACAATTGAAGCACGAAAGCATTTATCAAAAGGAACAAACTTCTCAATACGCGCAACGAAAATAGTGCGCTGATTCTCCCGCTTGCACCTGACGTCAATATTAACGACGCTTCGTTTGCTTTCGCTATTTCGACCGCCATTGTTGTTGATGTCGTCCTTCTTCTTATCCCAAACGTCGTCAACGATTTCAACTCGGATAAATATTTGTGAAAATTCCCAAAATTAATTAATCTCAAATTTCGTTTTGTGTTAATATATCGTCCGAAATGTGATTCAATTCGTGGAGGTATGCACAACTTATGACTTGTCAAGCAAATCATATACTGGAAAAATTGGATGAACAAAATTTCGAATTTGTTGCTAGCAAAAATTTAGATAAGATTTTGGTTATTCTGGAAAGCAAAGTTGAATACGGAAATCTTAATAATATTTAAAGAAAGTTAGATAAGGAAATGGGGAGAGAGTTTGAGAAGAGAAGAATTTGGAAGGCTGAAGGGGGGGGATGCGTAAAGGTTTTTTCCTTCGGTCTCGGCAAACGTTAGCAGCCACCACCCTCCTCTTAAGCTTCCGGAAAGTTATGAATAAATGAAGGCCCAGAAAATTACGGTACAGACTAGCGGTCAATGATCTACCACGTGTCACCTAAGCACATGTTTTCTTATGCGGCGATATGATTTTTTTTTCGTTTGTTTTTTTCTCCCTTATTAAGTAAACTTTTTTTGACAAAGTCAGAACAGTAAAATTGATCATGACGCGTGCCATTTACCGATTACGATGTTTCACCTGAAAGAGATAGTGACTTGGAGCACCGGTCACTTGGTTTCTATAGTGTTGTCAATTTTGACTTGGAGCACCGGTTCATTGGAATATGATCAATTTATTTGGTCACGGCCTCACGGGAAAACTTCGAATGGTCAGTATTAGTTTCAGTTGAATTAATCTTTTTGGTCGGGTCAAAATTAACTGACTCATCCATTTGCCACATTAAACTGTTACTTTTAATATAACTCGATCCTAAACTTGAACAGAAAAGTGTATTGAGTTTGGTGATTACAAATATGCTAAGATTTTAATTGAAAAGGATAGGTGATTGCTAACTTCTTAAACTATAGTAATTGTTTTATAGACTCATATTATAATAAAACACTTGCATTAGGTTGTATTGGGTTCATTAATTGGTTTCTTTCCATAAATAAAGGTTCTGTATTTTCTTGCAAACAAAGTAATCATATCTACTGTTTTTAGGTATCCATGTAGGAGTGGATTTATTTCAACATAGGTAATTTTTCTTTTCTTGCAAGTTAATTTGCTGAAACTTTATTTTAATAATAACCCTAACGGACCAATAGTTTCCGTTTCGATTGCAGTAGCTCCACATCCAAAAGTAATCATTAGGCTTAAGGAACACCAAGTGGAAAAAAAGGCCCAGGGTCTTATTGGAGCATATGCATTTATACCCGTTTTTTGGGTCACGTTTTAACGTATACCCGCTTTGCAAAAAAATTACAAGCGTACTCATTTTTCTCGTAACTTCAGGCATACGGGCCTGAAGTAGCAAAGGCAATCACGCAAACTTCAACATTCTAATAGATGGGCCTGAAGTAGCAAAATTTGCTGAACCAAGTGTTGGCTGAAGTTTTTGTTTGTAATTGTTGAACTTAAGCATTGTACTAGCTGAAGTTTTGTTCTCTATTTGGTGAACTTCGGCATGTTTTAGCTGAAGTTTTGTTCTATATTTGCTGAACTTCAGCATGTTTTAGCTGAAGCTTTGTTATGTTTGTGATGAACTTCAAGGCTGAAGTTTGTTTTGTATTTGCTGAACTTCAGCATTCTAGAGCTGAAATTTTTGTTTATATTTGCTGAACTTCAGCATTCTTAGAGCTGAAGTTCTAAAACAACAATGACAAGTTGTCATTAAGATCCAGTTGCTATAATGAAATTATCAGGAAATTAAACATTAAGAAGAACCGTCTTTAATTCTTTTTTTAGGGAATGAAATTTCAGATGTACTTAACGCCAAAATTCATACCTTAGTGCTAAATCACTGTGTATTTCATATTCAATCAATAATACTTACACAGAGTCTCATGTGTTTGAGAGAGAAAAGAAGAAGAAGAAGAGGAAAAGAAAGGAGGAAGAAAGGAGCGCACATGTAGCAGGAAGAAGGAGGCGCATGAAGTTGTAAAAATTAGGGTATAAGTTAAATAATTTTAAAAATATAAGTATAGGTTAAATGAGGAAACCTAATAGGGTGCCCGTGCAATTTTTACTGTCTTATTGTGGATTATGGATCGTCAGTATCCTCGAGTCTAAAGCCCAAAGGAGTGGATACAACACGTAATCCAAAACAACTTGCAGAGACCAAAGCCCAAAGGAGTGCTTTACGGCTTTGATGAAAAGTTTGGAAATTAACATGCAGCAAAATACAAGTTCAACATATCTATCTTCCTTTTCATTCTTCTTATCTCATTTTTGTTAGCTTAAATTACTACTCATCTCTCCATGAGAGGATGTACTTATTTTTGGATAAAGGATCAAAATTTTCTTCAAACACGTATCTTAGCTGGTTCCTGCACTGTAATTTAACAATAGGTACAACTTAAAAACACTGTTGAGCCGCAATAAACCCTTAAATCAAATAGACTATCTTAGCTTTATTGCAGGAGAAAATTAGGGCTTGCAAAAATCAAATGCTTCCCTGCCAATTTCTTCCGCATCTATCTTCAACTATTTAAAAGTACTAAAATTTTATCATTCAATCCCGATCAAGTAGGAAAGAATCCTCACTTCATTCCACATGTGTAAACTAGATTAGTCGCACTTAAAAGCCGATTACTCTATTGTAATCTAACCTCCTTGTTTCTAAAAAAATAAAACACAAAATCTAAATAGCCGTGTGAAGCAGTTGCTTAGACCTACTCCATTTATGTGTAACTTTGCCAAAAACATCATAGAACTCGATCTCTACATGAGTTGGTGTCACTTGGACAGACATGAAACTGTTAGGACCAAAAAAGCAGGTGTCATGCGGAAGCTAGCAAAGCAAACCTTGAACGACGACAAATCATACAACAAATAGAAATCTACCAAAAGAGACACAAACATTTAACGTGGTTCGGTCAACTGACCTACGTCCACAATGGAGATGAACAATCCACTATAATAAAAAGAGAGTACAAAATATCGAGAGAACAACCTCACGAAGAGGCAAACACAAGTGACACACTAACACTTGTCCCGTAAAGTTCTCCCCCTAGACACGACTCTCAAGCCCCCTATGGCTACATTGTGGATGCTACTGAATGTGAAGGAAGGATCCTCAATTTATAGAAGTCCAAACCTTTTCCTACAAGAAAAAGGACTAGCCAAATATAGGAGAATTATAATTTTCTTCTACAAAAAGGAAAATCCCAATTAAGGTAATTATATTGCCCTTTTCCTTCAAGAGATAGGAAAACCAAATATGGTAAGAAAATTATGGCAAACACCTAACAATTCTCCCCCTTGGCCTGAATTTTCTAACAAAATAAACTTGATCCACCTTCTTCACATAGCCTTCAACAGGTCGCATCTCCAAATCTCCGCCACAAAGTTTGTCTCAACGCGCGTAGCACACCGGTCAAATTTCTCAAACAAAAATCACGATTATCGTCAAATATGTCGCAGCTAGAACTGAACCCGCCAAGATGAACCTGTCTTGAACCTCGCTCGAAGCTGGCTCTGATACCACTTGTTATGTTGAGGAAGAGGCAAACCCGAATACATTTTGGGCGGAAGCACTTAACACTGTTGCCTATGTTATCAATTTGTCTCCTGCTGTTGCTTTGGATGGTGATGTCCCAGACAAAGTTTGGTTTGCCAAAGATGTTTCTTATGATCACCTGAGAGTTTTTGGGTGTAAAGCTTGTGTGCATATTCCTAAAGATGAGAGATCGAAACTGGATGTCAAAACTAAGCAGTGCATATTTATCGGTTGTGGTCAAGATGAGTTTGGGTATCGTTTTTATGATCCAGTTGACAATAAACTTATTAGAAGTCGTGATGCAATATTCTTTGAAGACCAAACTATTGAAGATATTGACAAAGCTGAGAAGATAGATTCTCAGAGTAATGAGAGCTTAGTTGATATTGATCCAGTTTCAATTGCTAAGGCACCTATTGCACATGAAGGAACCCAAGACAATGATGGAGATAGTGATCAAGATCAAAATGATCATCATGGTATAGATGTTATGGATGCTCCAGTTGATGAAGTTGTGGTTGATCAGCAACCAATTCCTGCACAGGTAACTACTTCGAATGCTCCTGAAACCTCTCTTAGAAGATCTACAAGGGAGAAGCAAAAATCCATGCGCTATCCTCCTGATGAGTATGTACTTTTGACTGACATGGGAGAACCTGAGAATTATGATGAAGCCATGCAAGATAATCACAAAGATCATTGGATCGAAGCGATGGAAGATGAGATGAAGTCACTCCATGAGAATGGCACATATGAGTTAGCGAAATTGCCGAAAGGTAAGAGAGCTTTATCTAACAAATGGATATTCAGAATAAAGCAAGATAACCATACCTCTGCGCCTAGATACAAGGCGAGGTTAGTTGTTAAAGGTTTTGGCCAGAAGAAGGGAGTTGACTTTGATGAAATTTTCTCTCCTGTTGTGAAGATGTCTTCTATTCGTGGGTTCTAGGCTTAGCCGCAAGTCTAGATTTAGAGGTTGAGCAGATGGATGTCAAGACTGCTTTTCTTCATGGTGATTTAAATGAGAAGATTTATATGGAGCAGCTTGAGGACTTCGTCGTTAGGCTTGCAGATAAGCATGCGTTTTGCAGAAAATTGGCAGGCATGAAGCCTGTCAATAGTTCCTCTACTTGAAGACACATTTGGCCCCTTGGCTGGAGGGGGAGTTTGTTGGGCACATGCCCATGTTGTCCAGCCAAAGGCCCAATGGCCTAATCCATTTCTCTTTTGGTTTCCATTCCTATTCGGAATTGGATTCGGTGTTTATTTCTATTTTGAGTGGGTTTTGGCTTTAAGAGAAAACACCACTCATGATCTATAAATAGGACAAACTTGGAGAATTATTCTATGCTCATTAATACAAGTCTTTGAAAGACTTAAGCACATAAGAGTGGTTTTTGAGAGAGCTTTCATCAAGAGAGAAGAGAGAAGAAAAGTATTTGTTTTGCTGCAGATTTTTATTCCGACCAGCCAACTTCAAATCACGTTTGCCAAATCGTTAACCGTTGGATCGGGCTGAAATTTTGACTCAGTGTTCGTAGCATCTTGTTCTTATATTTGAACGGTGGAGATCGGATTTGGAGGCTCATAGCATCTGATTTCCAGCCTCAAACAGCAGCTTCATTTTTGTGGATTATACTCTTTATTCAATTGATTAGTTGTTGCTCTTGTTGCTCCGTGTTTGGCCCTTGTTGTGTAGCCAATTTGGAGAACTTTTGTAACCCTCTTATTGTTATAGTGGAGCTTTTTGGATCTTTGTGATCCCGTGGTTTTTACCTTCGATTTGAAGGGTTTTCCACGTTAAAATTTGATGTTCTTT